AATGGGCATGTGCTAGCTAATGAGCCCAGAATGAAATGGACAACAGATGGAGTTGGGTATCAGCAGTTGGAAGATACACCATACAGTACATATCAAAGGAAACCAAGGTATACAAGAAGAAGAGTTAAACTACAGTACTACTAGCGACTTCTCCCTCCCCACCTCCTATATCGAAATGAAGATGTGGTGTTTCAAGGCGAATAGATTGAATTGAAGGTTAAAAGCATATAAAAATAAAAGGCCAATGACACAGTAATCATTTATTGTATGCTTTCCAGTGGTGAGTGTGTACTCCTTTGAAAATTGTAAAGATTATGGTGATTTCCAATTAAACCAGGAAACTGTAACTCAAAAGTGCCATTTACAATGTTTGTATTGAAATACAGTAATATCCAATAAACTATTTGTTAATAATAACCAAGTCACTAGATACTATAAAAGACAACCAAATAAATACGTTTAAAACCTGTTTAAACAAGGTTTACTAGAGTTTAAAGAATTTGAAATGTCATCAGTGTAAAATTTATGGAAAACAATTAAACCCTAATTCAGTATTGTAGAGGATGTTGTGGTTAGGTGCAATAAACTGAGGTGGCACTTTCCAGATCCTTTTATTGATACACCTCAATCTTGGTTTAGTTCCACCAGAGTATTGTTATAGATCCACCAATCCACCCAGGCTGTTTTAATAGTACTTGTGGTTTACATGTGGTTTATTTTACCTGGAACATGCAAGTCAACATATTGTTGATTTCATTGTCTTCATTCATTTAAGTATATGAATGTTATCAACCACAAGAACCTGTTACTTGTAAAAGTCTGCCTGTCTTCAATTCACCTTACTTGCTTCAATTCAAACCAAAAGCAAATCTTTGATGTTATTGAGGTTTTAGGTTTGTAGTCAAGTGTTATTTGGGAAACTCACTTTGACAGTGTTAATGCTGTTGCGCCTTTTCCGTTGGCTATAATGCGCCGATCCCCAAAAAAAAAAATGTTTAAAAAAAAGGAATGCAAGTGAATCTTTATATTAAAATAATATTATAAAAACATTATTTGTTAATAATAATAATAATAATAATAATAATATGTAGTTTTTTATATAGCAGTCTGCACAACTAAGTCTCAGAGCACTTTTCCACACTTTATAGTATTACCCCAGTTTGTTTTTATAAAATTATAAAAACAAACAAAATATTTGCAGTATGTCTGGTTTTTTTTTTACTAATTTTTGATATACACATTTGGCAGTATATCCTGTTCCAAGAGAAGTAATGAAGGTCTAACTTGTCAATACTTTGAATTGAAAATATCCCATACTTTTACTCCCTATTCCAGGTATCAGGAAATCAATGCAATGGAAATCCAGGAAGATTGTCAATAAATTCTTTCTTCCTCAATTAAAAAAAATATCCGTTTATAATCCGTGCGCTGCACGCTACTTCCAGATTTTGTAAAGGACTAGTTTTATTGCTTGTCTGTACTGAATGAAGTAAATAGTTTTAGTGGCATCTTTTTAAAATGGAGTGTAAGCTTTTTTCCTAATATAACCAACTGTATTATGCTCAGGATAGATAGAGTAAACAAATAAGCGTGACTGAAGAAAATAGAGGACACCAAATCTGAAAGAAAAAAAAAAAATATAGAATATTTATACGCTGTCTAGCATTCTTTATTTATGATTGTAGTTTTGGAAATCTGATTTTTAATTTTCAAAGAGGACTCTCCTTGTCGGAATTACATTATTACGAAAAAACATCAAGAAGATGTAAGAAAGTCAAATTTTACAGTATCACAATTGTGGATCATTTTTTATTCTGTTTATTTAAATGGTAGGAAGAAAGAATATTTGGCTTTGTATGATAGAAATTGGAAGATTTTATCTATTTGATCCGACTGTTGATTCATTTTGAATTGCAGAAATGTCCCGTGTAATTGAATGCTGAAAAATAAAATTTAAAGAAGAAAAATGTTTGCTGCATGGTAAAAATGTGTATTAATCAAATATTTCCTCTGATTGTTAATTCCTGTTCTGTTCTATTACAATGTACAGTGTAATATTTTCTATCTGTAGCGCTGATCATTAAAATGTCCAGATGACAAAACATCCTCTTTTGTTAAGTCATGTTCAATATATTTTGTGACAAGCTTCGCTTCACATCGCATTCGCAGTTCTTCACTGACAGTTGATGTCAATTTTCTGTGCCGTTCACAAGTTATTGTGTCCCCAGGGTATCGGCAATGTAATAGTACTATTGATTAACAAGCCTCGCTGTCCTTACAATCTATAAAGCTTATCGTTGACGATGTTACGAGGCCTGCAATGAACATTATGTAAATTCATGCTGTATTTCATCCCTCTCACATTTAATCCACTAAAAGTTCTTATGCAAATTATATATTTTTGTAAAGGAATGTGTGCTTGTTTTTATATCTAATATATCTCAACAGTTTTAGCCCCTTTGATATTTCTCAGAGGAATATTGTCTTGGTATGGTTTATTAATGTACACTATTTATTATTTATGTTGATCCATTAGCAATATCACTCTATAAAAAATACATTCCTGAAAATTAATTAATATTAATATATTTTGCACTATTGTATTCTATGTAACTATAGGTAAGGTTCTTACAATTCATGTGTATCCAATATGTTATTTGCGGCCATTGGCAAAATTATGAATATTACAGGATTTGAACCGAAGACCATGGGATTGCAAGGTGGGCGTCAAAACAATCCACATCTTCATTATTACAGTTTGATAATTCAAGCATTGCTAATATATGCTCATGTCATTGGGCTTGCTTTGCTACCCCAATTTACTTGTGTTTTTTTCCAGTGACAACCATAAACTTCTGTCCTTGCTTTTGCTGTTGAGGAAGTGATCATAGGAAGAGCATCCTTATTGAGTGTTTTCATTGCAAATGATCCTTATTTCACTGTTCTGTTACTTGATTCTACACAACTATTTTTATCACCAATTCATGCTACAATTAGTTCAATAAAATTGATTTATATGGCAGATAATCTTGTTTGTGAGGTTACTGTATTTTCTACAACAAGCACTACCATCTTCAAGTCATTTGCTTAAGTGCCATATTCTTTGATCTAAGAAGCCGTCTTGTAGTTCAAACGTGTGATGACTATTTACTGTATACTCAAAACTATTGCAAGCATTCTTCAAAGTACATATATTACAGATCGCTAATTAGTTTATTTGTTTATATGGCTTGACCTTTCACCTCAGCAATATGTCATTTAAGATTTGAAACTGCAAGTATATTATAAAGGCAATATTTTTTCCCCACTTTTTATTTTCATGATGCAAAATACTTAAAAATCCTGCTACTGTAAGAATTGAATCTGCCATCTTTTATATTTTTTTTTAACAGAAAATATAGAAAATTGCGTACAACTACTAAATTTTACATTATTTTGAAACAGGATAATGAACACAAATTACACCATTATTGGATAGTTATTTATCTGTATAATTTCATTGCATCTAGGCCTATATGAAATGGGTGTCTCCCTCGTTTATAAACCAGCATTTTGTACTTAGCTCGGGGCTAGGCGTGCAGGGCTAGATTTGTAGGTTATAAACTCAGTGAAATTGAGCAGACGTGCTGTTTGCTTAGCTAAGTATGTTGGGCTGGATGTTTTAATTTTGTTACTTAGCTTGGTGAGTAGGCTTAATGTACCATTAACGTTTACTAATGGAATTGGGAAGTGTCTTTGTTTGGTTCATTTCATCATCCTCACAAATTATTAATTAAATTAATCTTAAAGTATTTTCTTTGAATTTCATTGTTAATAAATAATATTTATCTTGGTATAATAAGTTAATTTATTTTTAAAAATTAAGTTAATTTTTTTTTTAAACTACTTAATATTTACATTCTTCTTAATATTAATAATTCTAAATATTTAATTTTTATAATATATATGCCTACTTTTATATTTTATATATTTAAATTTCATTAAGGAAGGGTGGTTCACTGTGTCATGGGTCTTCACTTATAAAGAGGCTACCAAGTAACCTTTCATGAATAAATGAAAAAATAAATTTCTTACATTTACTGTACTGTTTTATGTTGATGCTTTTATAATGTTATGTTATTGACTGGTTGTGAATGTTGTTTTGTCAATTTTATCAACTTGTTTATACTTTCAGAGTCATTTTATTACTCAATAATTATTATTATTATTATTATTATTATTATTATTATTATATAACTATAATTACTATTGTTTCTGTTGTTATTTTAAAATTTATTAGGTTGTTTATTTGTTAGGTTCAAAATTTACTTAATTTTTTCTCCATATAATTTTATTAGGTTCATAAGATTTAATTACTATGCTTTAGTTAGAGTATATTGAACCAGATGCTTGCTATAACTACTTACTCTATGTCAGGTTTATATATTTTGTAATTTCATTAAACTTGAAAACTAAGACATGCTCTGCTATCTTACTGTACTGTCCACACTCACATTATCTTTGACAAAAACTGTTGTGTGCCCATATATAGTCATGATGTGCCCATATATGGTCATGATGTGCCTATATATGGTCATGATGTGATGTCATCATGACCATATTTAGACATGCCACATGTTATCTAAATAAAATTTGATAGTCTGATCAGTGGTTTTTCAAGTTTGTCACAATCTCAATCTCCAAATATGGTTATTTACTCAAGTTTTTAATTCAGATTTGTTTTTTCTTACGAAGACATCAATTTTTTACTTAAGATTATGTCACAGATCCTATGTGAAGAGAGACTTAACCTTCTGGGAATGTAAAAGACAATGTCATGGTTAACTGAATATTGTATATAACCATGGCAACATTAACAAAGAAATGACCTTTGGCTTGTCAACACTTAAAGGTCAATGCTTCATTAATCATTTTTAATAAGTATTATGCATACATAGATTTCATCCCATATACAGTGTATCCATATTATTATATATCCTATTCATTGCTTTTGTTTTTAGGCGGTCATTTGGTCCACTAACACACACTCTAGGAGGGGGAACCCCCTCTGGTTCATCAGAGAAAGGCGTGACCTCATCGATCTCCTCAATCAGGAAGAAACTCGGACAGCGATCAATAAAACCTCAGGTAATATCTTGTCAGATCTTTATTCTTTCATTTAAAAGCTTTTAATCATCCACTTCTGCTTGCCACATTTCATAATTCAAACTGATTTAAAGGGACATACATACTTTTGAAAAACATAAACCTTTGAGGGTATTCAATGTATACATTCATTTAGAAACTTTTTTGTGTGACTGTCCCAGATAGCTCCTGGTAGCCACTGAGTGTGCGCTGAACCGTGGAGATCTCTTGGTCCCTGGTTCACTTCCCATCGCTGTTCTCGTATTTCAGCTGGAGGGCTGAAATGCAAGTGGCGATAGTGCACCGTCTTTTGACTGAGACGTTGGTCCTGTGTACATTATGGTCCATGTGCACGTTAAAGAACGCAGTACACCCTTCAGAAAAGAGTAGGGATTGTCTCCCAGTGTACTGCCCAATCATCACCACCAAAAGGACCCCACTGGAAATAAATGTTCTTCAGACTTTTGTGGCTATCCTTGGTGCTTACACCGAATAAATCCAATCCTATCCTGTTCCTTTAAGTCATTATGAAATTATTACTGGTACATTTTATTAATGTACAATATTAACATTAACAATTAATTAATTTATTTATTTATTCATTTATTATTAATATTAACATCCACTAAAACTACATTATAAGCATTGTATAACCTTATGCTAAATAGGGACCAATCTTTTGAGTACTGTATTCACAAAATAGATGAATGGTAATTAACTGTTTTAATCGATGATAAAGCAAACACAATGGATGTAAACTTACTGTGAGCTTTTGTAAATATTGTGTTTTTATTTAGTGTGAACATTTTCATTAAAGGCTAATAACAAATATGCAAGAAAAAAAGATTAAATTTTATTGTTTAAGTTATTAACTAAGCACATATAGCATTAGCTTTCTTATTGTTACGTTGAGTAAAATTCAAACAAGGTGTGTGGCCTGACCACCTGTAGGTGAGTTTCTGTCCACCTGTATCTGAGGCCGTGACCATCAGTATGTAAAAAGCCTAAGCCACCTGTTTCTGTGGTTTGATTGTTGACTGACTGGTGTTTTAAGGTACAGTGTAGACCATAATGTTCTTGTGCAGGAACATCCAAGCCTTTTGTCTGAGCAATATCCTGGAGGCCTAGATATTTGCAAATAACAGGATATCAGAAGATATAAAAGTTGTATTTTGTTGTAGAATTGAAGTGATATTATTAACAATAATTAAATTAATAATATTTGGAATCTGGATATTTTTTTCATTTTTTTTTGTCATATTGTATTTATTTATTTACTTCTGTCTTTTGTGTGATAACTCTTTCAGTGACGTAGCACTGGTATCACAAGTGGATCACAAGTAAAAAGAATAAAAGAGAAACCAAAATGAAAAAAAGAAATTAAACTTAAAACAAAAACTAATGAGTAAAAGACAAAACATAAATATAAAACTACAGCATCGAAAACAACAAAAAAATAAATAAAATTAAAAAAAGCTTAAAACTAACAACAAATTGGAAAGAGGAAGAGGCAAAAAGGAAAATCAGTAAAATGTTGATACCATATTTTGTCAAGAAGAGAATAAATAAAGTTAAAATTATATATTGTTTAAATGATTTTTAAAAGACTGTAGAGAAAGTTCATAATTATTTGTTAATATATTATATTACTTTCTTTAAATATTAATATTAGCCACAACTGGCTAATTGTGATTAGGGCTTTATCTTCCTCAAAATGTTATAATGTCCTATTTACTTATTTTACCACCAAAATTTATTTAGTTTTTTATTTAATTCCTACTGTACAATTAAATAGCCTGAACATAACATTAATGATGTTATTACCATTATTTCGTATTCAATAAATTAATTTTTCTGCTTCTGCCAAATGTATCTAAGCATCATTACATCTTTATTTAGTGCTTTTGTCTTTCTTGTGGTACAGTATAGATAGGTAAGTACGTGGGAAAAAAACCTGTAAGTACAGTAACGAGACAAAATTTCCAATGGATATTTAAACAGATTAGGAATTCTCCTTGTTCTGACTTTACAATATATCATTAAGGATTGGTTTCAATGGTTCAACTTAAATATCATACCTTCCTGTTTAATAAATTTTGCAAACAACTTAATTTTAATGTTTAAACTGTTGATATAATCTTTCGTTTTTACTTCTGGTAATTTCCCCTTGCTGGTAGTTTTGCCATGTCTTGTGTATTTTGTAATTTCCTCCTCGTAACAGGTAATCCATGAGAATTCCAGCTTGTATGTTTTAGAATTCTGTTGTGGTTACTGTTATCACGTATCTTACGACGTGAAACCTTATCACGTAGCCTGATGTGAAGTACTGTCAGGGACAGTCTTTAGGTTGATGTGAGAATACTAAACACATTTTACATTCTACGACGCAACTGTACCTGAGGTAGACCTACTGTATACTATGCAGACCCGACGCGACAACAGATCACGTCGGAGTGTGTCGTACGGCATTGTCCAAGTTGGCCTTAAGATACTTCAAATCCTGAGGGTGTATGCTTGCATCACATACAGTATCTTATGAAACAAAATTAATGTCTTTCCATGTTGTTGGTAGTCAGACAGGGAACTACTTCATCTGATAAAACATCTTTATGTGCGACAAAGAGAAATTGCTGGTTCCTCTGCTTTTAGTTGGTTTTTCTTATCTTTGTATTTTTAGATTGCAAAATATTTTATGGTTTAGTGAATATGACCAATGTATTGAGTCATTTTCTTTATAATATCTGTGGTATTTTCCTTTTTTCTCTCCAGTACTGTACCTTGCTTATTTCTTTGAAATGAATATGAACACTATGAACATAAATAAGCTTCATAACGACTCATTGTTTTAATACATTGTGATGGATTTTCTTTACAAATAAAGAAGTGAATTTTTTTGTGGTTTATAACAACATATAACATACATTGTTGTGGTAATCTGCAGCTCCCTAAGTATACAAAAATGAAAGGTATATAACCAATCATATTCTCCATGGTTAAACATTAACAAAGGAAAGGAAGCTATAAGATACTTTGTTTAAACAAGCTATTTTTAATTATGCAATTTTGGATCTTTGATGAACTTTGTGTCTTACATAAATTTTAATATTATAGTCAGACCATAACAATTTGCAATTTCGTCTAACAACACAGATTTCTACAAACACTAATATTCACAATCAGACAAATACGCTCTGTATTTTTAAAATGCGGACTTGTGCCACAGTTATGATAACATTTTTGAGAGGTTAAAAACAAATGAGTCCAAATAATTGCTTTAATCACCAGTAATCACATGGAATTAATAACCCAAAAGAGGAAATGTAATCTAGAATTAAACGAATGATTTAGTATGATTCATCCTATTAAAATTTGTTTGTTATTAATTTCTTGATTTCATTAAAAATATGTCAACTTAGGCCAGGCGTACCATAAACTAATTTTAATAATGTGTGGTTGTTGCAGACTTATTTGGTCAAACAAATTAAATAATAATTCTGGATTTATATAGCGCCTCACAACCTTGTGAGTATCCTTATATGAGTAAAAGTCTAATCAAACATAAGTCTAGCAGACAAAAATCTGTTAGAGCATTCCTAGTGTCAAATGAAGAATATTGCATCATATACGAACAAGATGGATGGATTCGTAATGCATCATCGATGCCCTAGAGGGCTGTAATTGGGTAGCATAAGAAAGGATTTAAAGGAAATCCCATATCATCTGTGGAGCCTAGATTCCTAAGCCTATAATGATGTTGCATATTTATTATCTATGTGTGAATTAGAATTCCATATCAAATGTAATGTCGGAAACAGGTTTATTTTTGGTTTTGGGCTATGTTTTCGTAAAAATGACATTCCGTAAGTCCACCGGCCTCAACACGTTTGAAGATCAAACACACGGATGTGTGAAATTATCGTTGCTCTTAATAAGTTGCAATACCACTACAAGTCTTCAAGAGTCCATTAATATTTAATCAGTCTTTTAAATTATCTGATTCCTGTTTCTCGATTTCAATTAAAGGAACGTGAAAGTAGGCGGTTTTGCCTAAATCTACACGACCTTAAAACATTCCTTATTTAAAACATTCCTTATTATCTTGGTTTTTCAATTGCCATCTTTCACTATTGGTAATTTTTTTAAACCATATTTATTAAGGGAAACGATATCCAACATAACCTTGTGAGGCTTAACCTGTTTTCGTACGAGACTTCCTTGGGTCAATGTAACCGTTAAACTGGTCGGTTTGACAAAAACATTCAAATTACCGAAGCCATGTGGAAAGTACAGTATTTACCGAGCGAACACATCTCAGAAAGAAGGCTGTTTCACTCACGCATAAAGAGCATTGTGAACAGCAGAACTGTGTTAAATCTTCCCGGGTTACGCGCAACTACTGCGTACCACTGAGGTTTTCATAGATTGTATCCACAATTAGTCGGTTGTTGCAAAAGAGTAGCACAGCTGATCCTGAAAATGTACAAACCTAAGGCTCTATCTGCACTATCAAATTGTGTGAGACTAATTTGTGATGTGCCCATATAGGGGCATGATGATGTCATATTACACCCAAATTTAATCACATGAAGTTTGATATTTTATGTTTTTACAGGTTTGATAGTATCTGCTAACTTTTTAAAAATTAAATAGAAAGTATGAATAAAAATATTTTTAAAAACTAGTTTCTCCTTGGTGCTGAGGAGAAAATAATAACAATTATTACAAATATCTTAAAATTTCATGTACTGCTATAGTTATTTCAATTTTATCATTTTTTATTTAATACATTACTGTATTTTTTACCAACTAAATATACTGAAAGCTTAGTGTTCTATACAGCTAATCTAAAATGTTCATCTATTGCGTTGCTGTTTCGTATTCCGTCTTCAAAAGATACATTAAACAAAAACAAAAACCAAATAGAGCATGATGAGCAGTGCCCTCTACGTAACCCCTTGCATTATTGTGCGCCAGACAGATCTTCTCTTTCTCTATTTCTCAGAATAATAAATGAGACAGTAAAGCATTTGGATACCACCCTTTTAAATTTTATTCAGTCAGGCAAATGTACAAAGAGTTTACAGTATATTGGAATTGCAGAAAAAAAAATGTTACTGCTTTATATTTTATATAGCTGACCTTCCATATTCCCTTAAAAAAGTATGTAGGGACTGGTTTGCCATTTCCCCAGCCCCTCCTCCAGCTTTGTTACCAATTGCTATTTATAGTCAATAGAGGGCTACTGTATTCAGTTAAAAGCATTGCTTTAAGCTAAGTGGGGTTGTTTGGGCTGTCTAGAACTATCAACCATTTTAGCACAGCCTATTACAGTAAGTAATGTTGACCATTGCTTGGTACTGTTGATAGCTAATTAATTTAGTTTAAAAGAGAAATAATTAAAGACATTTAAAATTAAATAAGCTACTGTATGTAATAGGAGTAATGTTTAAGCTAATATAATGCGAGAGAACATTGTCTGTTCTGCCTTGGTTGTGCCCGAGTTTGACTTGCCAAGTGAGAATATTGAGTAAATTAAATCCTGTCTCAATGTTACATTATATCCTACGGAGAAATACAGGGAGGAAATGAGGTAAAGGACATGGGTGGCTGCTACTCCCTGTGTACATGTAACGATAAGTTTGGAATTACATCCGCACTCCAAGATGGGAAGTCTGGAAGGCAGAGATGAAGTAGCAACTAAATTGTATCATTCAGCCATTTTATGTCCTCTGATTTATTGTATTATCTTATAATTAACTGTAATCTGTAGGTTCCCCGATAAAATTAACCAAATAAAATGTCCTCTGAGTGATTTCTGTGACATTTACTAACATTTTTTTGGTTGACCTTTTATGATGTAGTGTACTTGTTTTGAATGTGAATTAATAATAATGTAAAATAGGCAGCAAGAAATGAAGGCTATCCTTATGTTAATGGTTGTTTAATATGTCATCTAAGCTTGTAGATGCAGGGCATATCATATGGGGGAAGTATTACTTTCCCAGGCACCTCCGCTAAAAATTTCCATTCAAGTAGTTGCTCATGTTAGATATTATCAATATATGTATCTGAGTAAGGCTGTAGCTTGAGTGTTGTGATTCTTTCCTTTCAAACCCAGTGTCCTGATCTAAAATGCTCTTACCATTAGAAACAGCACCATTTCCTTACATTAGAATAGTTTAAAGTTCAACCTAATGTGTGTTACTTTAAATACAAGTTGTAAATAACATCTTTGAATTTTTTTTTTTTTTGATGAATTTACAAATCAAGTTGTATACATAATGTACATGCTGTTCTAACCTAATATTATTTTACAATTACACTGCCAACAATTAAGATCATAAGTTTTTTATAACTGAACTTTACCATGCATAGTTGTTTTCTCATTGATTCAACTTCCCTAAATATAATTATCTTATTTCTTTCAGGGCACACCAATTCCCCCTGGATTAGCACCCGGTGAACAGTCTATTGGGTGGAGACTCGCAAACAGACCACCAAAAAAAGGTCTTGATACTCTCAAAGTTGTTGAGGATGCTCTAGTGGGTCGAAAGAAACGTGCTCACAAGAAATCTTTGAGTTCTCCAGCAAAAGTACTTACCAGAAATATGTATACAAAAAGCTCATTTGGTTCCGGTCCCGCCGTTACTCTGCAGGATTTGCATTATGGAAATGTTGCCACACCGCAGAAGGACAATACAAAATCGCCGAAAGTAATGCTTGTCGATGTTCAAATGTCTTGGAAGGGACCTGTTCATGATTTGAACCAAGAAACAGTTGCAAATAACAATAATAACCAGGTTGATCAGGTACCACTTGGTCTTCCTACTGCTGTCGTTCATGTTGCCAAGAGGCAGGATTCTACTCTAAAACGACAAGGACCAGTCACGCCAAATACGGCAAACAAATACAGGTATGCCAATAGAGCAAAACCTGTACACAATAGTTACTTAGCCTCACCAGAGCCTTCGCCGGAACTCGCTTCTACACACACAGACCCAGTACCAGCAAGTTTGCCGTATTCAACCAGTCATCAGTCGCTGTCCAGTGTGTTATCAAACATTAGTGTAACAAGCACCAAATCTGTTTTCAGTGTTGAATGTAATTATAGTCAAGAAGTCAGTGAGGGTCAAAGTTTGCAAAGTGTAATCCCTCCGCAGAGGATGTACCCAAACCATTCTGTCACTCAGGCAAGTGTACCTGCTTCTGTTGAGTACAGCAGCAGCCAGAACTACACAAACAATCTGGCATACTCCAATGCCCAGTCATATACCAATGCCCAGGCATACACCAATGCCCAGCCATACACCAACACTCAGGCATACACCAACGCCCAGCCATACACCAATGCCCAGCCATACACCAATGCCCAGGCATACTCCAACCCTCAGGCCTACACAAACACACAGGCCTATGCCAACAATCCAGCCTACACCAACGCCTACAGTACCACCCAGATCTGCAGCACCGCTCAGGCCTATGCCACCACCCAGGCCTATACCACCACCCAGGCCTATGCTACCACCCATGCCTATGCCACCACTCAGGCCTATACCATGACCCAAGCTCTCCCATACAACAGTGATTGCAAGGAAAAACAGCTTGGTGATGGCACAGCTAGTAAAACCTCAAGTCTTGATAGTCTAGATACTGTGGGCAGTGAAGAGGAGTTGAAAGCACATCAGAAGCTTAAGAAATCCACTTCTGTTGATAGTGGTCGAGGAGCATCATTGTATGATAGTGAGGGAATGTACAAGATTGAGGACATTGCACTATTGATGAAAAATCTTGAACATACAAATAATCATATAAAAGCAGAGGAAATAAGTAATAGTCCAGTAAATTATGCACCTTCTTATGCACCAAAAGTGAACTCTGTGAAAAAGTCAGAGACTCTAAATAGGCAACCTCAATCGCGTCAGGTGCCGAAGCCTATTCAAGCAGTAGAACATAATAAAAAAAAGGATGCTACTGCTAAACAACTTGGCTCTAATGCATTTTACAGTTCTCTTCCCAGAGGATTGTCTTCATCAACAATGGCAGGCCACTATAACAGATCCCAATGGCAGTACAGCTCCTGTACTCTTCCTACGAGACGTGTTACACGCTCGCAAACATGCCCAGAAGCTGTTGGCTCCCTAGATGTACGCAGGCTTAGTAATAGCGTTGTAGAAGCCAATGTCGAGCTCAGTGCTTCGGAAGAAAATAGTCCATTGAAAATGCTGAATAGAACTCCGCTCAGATTCTCATCCAGAGGGCGTCGTCCATCATTGCCATCACAGCCTTCGGAAGCAGCTGTAGCTTCTAAGAAAGCAGGCAGATCTTTAAGAAAGAGTTTCTCTTCCGGTTCGGGTGTGCGGTCACCAAAGTTTCCATTGACTTCTCTTGTCAAATCTATTAGCTCAGAAAGTGGATTATCAAGAGTTGATACAGAAGAACCATTTGAGGATGAGGATTATGAAGATGAATCTGATGATGATGAGGGTGATGACATCTTCAGGTCACGGATTCCAAAAAATCACTTCAGGCCACGACCACGTTTTAATCAAAATCAAGAATCCACGTCTCGATTCCAAACATTGACACCATGTCAGGAAGCTGAAGATGAAGAACTGATACGAAAGCATCATCGACCAACTCCACTGGTTGAAAACTGCAATGATAATATAATTGAACAAGTACCTGTTATAAACCAATCATCTCTAACACCACTACACCTTGCTAAGTGCACAAAGGTACGCGTCCCAGGCAAGAAGACTGTCACACATAAGTACAATACTCCGACAAAGTCCAAACGTTTCGGCTTTCTAAGCTCAAGCAAAACAAAGGACGAGGGGAAGATTACACCCAAAAATACCAAGTCTCCAAAGAAATATCCTCGATCCCCAGTTAACCCTCTAAACCATCCCTCAGTAGATCTGAGTAGTGCCTTTTTTACTCAAGATTTTTAACAAAGTGATAGTGAGCATAAGTAATCCTATACCTTTCCAGTAAAATAATATTCATAAGTACTCCTCGGGTAAAATTGAGAGTGGTCGTGTTGGATGTGCGTTGCCCGTTCTTAAATCTTGATGTATAAAAGAATACAACATGCTGTATGAGTATTACTGTAAATAGCTAAAAAATATTGATTATTAATTTGAGGAAAGTGAAACATTATTAAGATGTCAATTGTTGTAGATATTACATATGCAGATGGTTCTCTTATTTAAGTATTTGTAGATAAGCAAAAGAGTGAATCAAAGTAAATGTATATCATATGAATTTCCGGTCCATTTTGTTAATAAGGTGCTGAATCCTGCAAAGACTTCAGCTCAATGGATAACTATTAGCTATTAAGTGAGAAAAAAAAAAGAGAAATCGCATCAGCCCTCAAAATTTTATATACCAATTTCTATTTGTTGTTCTCTGTTATTTTCTGTATGTAACCTGTGTATTTTATATTTTAATTTTTGTTCCTTTCAATTTTTGATAATTTGATAGATTTTTTTTTAATTCGAGTAGTTGGAGTAGACTGCAAATAAAAAATATTTGGTGAAACTTTGAAAATTGAACAGTACACAGGGATGAATTCGTCACGGTGACGTCACACTACCATGTGATTAATCGCGTATATAAAGTGTTTTTAGTACTGTATTCAAAGGAATGACCATCCATAATGGGAATAAATAATTTGAAATATGAAAAAACAAAAGAGAATGAGCTAGCTACGAAATTGAAACTACAAAAGGGCCTGAGTATTAACTGTGTATGAAAACAATCCGCAAACCATTGTACTATAAATATCTATGACGTCATAATCCCACTATGAACTTTTCAACTCGGCTGGAATAGAAAATAGAGAGGCAAACTGCTCAAGTACTATACGGTTAGTATGCTCACTTAATGGTTTCCCCTCTCAAGTACTGTACAGTATTAGTATTACGCAAAACATGCACACAAAATCGGCCGAGAACCTTGGCACGATACTCTGCCATAATGATTGAGGTTGATTGGCATTTAATCACAAAACATTGTGTGGTACTGTAATAATGCATGCATAATACTGTATTGACCTACATCTAACAGTATCATCTTGTTCTAAACTTCTACGTAACTGCGACACGAGTTTAAACTTATTGGCAAATCACGAAGCTCTATTAGTTCCAACTTCATGCTCCATATCCGCTTACGTGTGGAGGCCTACACCCAGTTTGTATACATCACGCGATGTACCGGTACAATATTATGTTTGTAAATATTAGTTGATAAAATTTTGACGATGGATTTGAAGTACTGTACAGTAGTTGCTTGAAGATCACAAAACATTGATAACCATATTATGAGCAAATCAAATGTTATTTGTTGCGAGACCAATTTAAGGAAACATCGCGTTACCCACTACCCACACTTTGTCAACAAACCCTGCACTTTAGTTTGTGCCCTGGAAAAAGGAAACTCTTCGCTCATCCTGTTTCCTTTCTTTTCCAAAATATGGATAAAACTTTTCATCATTTGATGATTTTTACTACATATTGACTTGACAGTTACCAGGATTGCCCAGGATGTTTCTTTGATAAATTTACACAAACGCAGCGGGGGTGGGGGTTGGGTGGGGGAGCATGGGGATTCACGCCTACTTCCCCGAAAAAAGCCATCGCATCCTCCCCCACAACATTGATGGCGTACGTGTACTATGCCATACATCTCCCGATAACAGCATCCTCCGAGTCTGCCATTCTTCATTAACAGCAGTTTACAGCCCGTTAGTGGATTTAATGAGAAGATGTTTGTCATTTGATCTATAAATCTCGCACAGTATTGCCTGTTAAAATATATTATATCGATGATGGTGTCCACGTATTCAGCGGTTTCGGTCAGCGGAATGCGACAAGACTCATGATGACTTTTCCACAGAAATAACCAGACCTACCACATGGCAACGTCTAGCCTGTTAAACCACATGTATGAAAAAAAAGTATTGCCACATTATACAACCTGAAAGCATGTCAGTGCATTATCGTAATATGATAATTTTGAAAAAAATAAATATAAAAAAACTTCATTGCAATTTTGGATAGAACTCCTCCTTGTTGCCACCCACGCAACCTCTCACCTAAATATTATTAAGAAAACCCCTCAAAAAATTAAAATGATTTAGGGCCGGTATTTGAATTTAAAACGTTTGGAAATAAGCAGTTTGTTGGAAAAGAGAAGGACCCACTCAGTTCAATTCACCGTGCACTCACTGGAAATCAATGGTGGATTCAAGGGGAGGGGGTTGGGGTAGCCGCTCCCACCCCCTAAATTTTTCAAAATGTAAAAATAATTGACAAAAAAAGAAAATTTTACTCAAATTTGGAGTCGTAAGAGTCCCATTTCCGGCCATCTAGAGGTGCCATAATCATAAATTTTCTTATCTCAGACCCAACCCATGTGGTGGCTGAGGTAGATACCCTCAATCTGTGAAAGTCCCTATCTGTGCCCCCTCCAAATTCATGGATCCGCCACTGGAAATGAATAAGGAGTTGCTCACCATCAAAAGGACCCCACCGGAAAGTTACACTAGACGAAGTATTTTGAACTTTCGTAGGTTATCGTCATTATGTGATTCATCACCGAAGAAATCTAATTTAATCCAGCCTGAATTCTCACTTTGTAATTAAATACCGAAGTATTATAGTAATCATCTTCGTATAATTGTTGTATTTTTAATGAACTGCCCTTTTTCAAGTCAGACGTCATTTTATAAGAACATGGTGGCTGAAATTGCTTAAAAATAAGAACAAATTAGGCTGAGGTGAAATTTCAAATGAGGTTTTTAGTTTAAAAACCTAGAAAAACCAAATACAAAAGACCAGTAATATACATTTGGTCTTATTATGTACCTTCTGTGCAATAGGTGTGTCTACTGTATGTTCTCTACAAAGCAGTAGGCCTACATTAGTATTGGATGCCTACTGCTGCTGCACAACTGTAATTTTCTGCAATTGAAAAAATGTGTAAAATAAGAACAAAATAAGAACATTTTTAGCCTGAAAATTGCGAAAAATTAGAACACTGAGGATCTGACCAAAAATCTACTGGTTCTTATAAAAAAAAAAAAGTGTATCGGTTTTATTACCCGGATGGACTTATTATTTTGTTCGCTCTTCTTTTCATCCAATAAACAGAGGATCATAGTAACAGGAACTACGGTAGTAATTGTATATGTTGTTTATCAGTACAAAGAGGTCATCAGGTGTTGTCGGTGCTTTGATTTTACTTCGAGCTGATGCTGCCCTGATGTAATGATGAAACAAGCCTATGTCATTTCGAAATCCGTAACCACGATTGTGCCCTTAAGTTATGGATGGTGTAGCCCTAAGCTTGTACCGTATGATACTACAGTCATTTGTTTTCGCCACGTTAAGCACCGCAAATCCAGAAACAATCGGTGGTTGTTCAATTGCATCTGAAATATCCAAATTGTTTTGATTATTGTGAAAATGTGTAATGTGAGAGGCCTATCATGACGCGCTATTAAAGGCGTTGCCTGTGGAAAGAGCGATGTTGCTTTTTAAGATATCACAGACACTTAGCGACGGCGGCCTATTTTAATATTTATATGCCTGTAACATGCAATACAAAACAGGATTTACCGCTTACTTTAATGTACCGGTTACCCCTAAATATTTTAGTTACATGTTTGACTACATAAACAACTGCGATTTGACATGCAATACAAAACAGGATTTTACCGTTTTTAGTAGGCCTACATTGCGTGAGCAATAAAGAATACGATTGAGTTTATATAAAGTTCACGTTCATATATCGCACCGAGGTAAAGTTGAAAAGGGTAAACTATCAACACAATACTTTGCTAATGTCTGTTTTAACATCTGTATTTCGGATGAACAGGTATTCATACATTCATTTTTTAGCTCATTCTCAAAAATGCTAAAACTTAATGACCAATAGGGGGCAGTATAACAAATCAGAGCATTCAGATTTCTTTTATTTTCCACAAATAACATAAAATTAATAATATGTAATTAATAATTAATAACAGCATTAATCATTCTCACAGTGGATAACACGGTTTTAACTTGTGTGGCACAAGGTCGTGATATTTTTTGTGAGCCGCATTCATGTTTCTACCCGGTCTGCTGCAGGCGCGGATCCAGCGGGGGCCATGAGGGCCCGTGCTCCCCCCCCCCCACCTCCCGTCAGTAAAGCCGAAAAATAAAAAAGAGTTAGAGAAAGAGCAAAAAAGGGAGTGCACCCATGAGTTCAGTGGCGATACAGCAGTGAGCGAAAGGAGAGCTCGATTATTTACCACTTATTTTCACCAACCATGGTGGGGGTGGGGGGGGGGAGAGGCGGCGTGAACATCATATTGTTCCCCCTCCCCCGTCAGAAAATCTCTGGATCCGCCCCTGTGTTGAAAATAAAATACACCCTGGCCATCATGTCACTACTAGAATGCAGTGCGCAAAAGACGCGCGCGCGCTGAGCTGATAACTCCGTGTTAAGATGCAGCTATAATAGTTTTCATGAACATTAGGCCTACTCATGTTTATCATGTTGACTCCTTTCTTTTTAAATTTTACTATGGCCTAAGATTTCCCTCTCGACCTTATGAATTTGTTTCTGTCATTCAACGTGATTGGCGGTCAAGGATTTGAATTTATCGATTACCTTTAACTTATTATGTGTAGTTCAAGAGCAACAATTCTTGATTGACAAGAAGACACGTGTTTCCGAACTGAATCATTCCTATCTCAGAAGTTAAATACTAGTCTAGTTCCAGTAGGAAAACGGGCGGATCCAGAGATGTCTGAAAGTGGGGCCGACAATGGGGCCTATCGAGACAACACTACCCTATGCCCCGCGAATTTTGTAGACGGCCGAATACCCCTGAGGCGTTTTGAGCAATAATTATTTATTTTTCTAGTCTTTCTCTTTTCCTTTTTTTCAACTTTCCAAAAGGGTCGGGGGATGCCGCGGCCGGCCCAGCCCTCCTCCCCCCCCCCCCACACCTTCTAAATCTTCCCATGGAAAATTCTATATTGGCATGGGATTTAACATGCTATATTTAGTATCATTCGTAAATAATGTTCATTTGCGACTTTGATATTTAACAAAATCTACGAGTTCCAAAATAGCAACGCTGACAGTATAGTAGTCATGGTATTAGGCAACTGCATTTGATCAATACACAAAGAAGCATTTTTTTTCCTCCTGACTCGCCGTGTTCTTTCTGCGAACTAAAAATTAATATTCGTGATCAGACAAGAAAGGAATTATGCCTATAAGTTATAATTTCTAAAAATGGTCAATCCTTCCTCATTTTTGCAATAAAACCAGTCGAGATGGAGGTCGGCCCAGGCAGTGATAGGCCCTAATAGTATGTCTAGGCCTAATGCGAATTTTGGTGGCCTGTTTAAACGTTTATGATGATTTTATCGCTTGTGTGAATGCATATTACATCATGCAATATTTATCATATATTTATAAATAAGTTTCTTTATGATGAGTCCTGCAGCTGTTTTCCGATTAATCTCTTTCTGGATTGCACATTATTGTTCCGCGCTTAAAGTCATGCGCGAATCAGACAGTTGTCTTGATCGGAAGCAAGCCAGGATTGGCTACCACAAGAGACACTTCGCCGTAATAATAGGACTAATCTGTATGTTGGAAATTGTCATATGTTATTGCGTTACTCGTGTGATGGTGCGAGACAACTGCGATAATAAATTATTATTAATTAAAAGAAATACAAAATCAATTGGCGAATTCAATTTTATATAGAACTTCATGGTTTGAGTGATCGAATAGCCTATTGATCTGGAATTCATTGATCTACCCACAGGTAAATAAGGAAAGTGTGTGTAGATTATTTGGACAATATTTTCTGAAGAGTGTAGGCCTACAGCGTTCTTTGACGTGCACATTATTATGGATCATAAAATTATTCACATGGGATCAAAGCTTAGGTCTCTCTGAATACTTAACAACTGACCAATCAGAACAGGGCTAGGAATACGCGCATGTCCCAAGAACACACGCATGTGTTGAGGGACGTTTACGCAATCATTTTGTGGGACCGTTCCTTACAACAATATCCAAGGAGTGGGCTTAGCGAAACGGTAAATTCATTGTAAACAGGTAGTTTTCGCCGCACGATGTTAACCTTAACTTTAACGTTAGTGCACACAACATGCATCGCGATAGCTCCGCCCCTTTTGTAAAGAAATCGAAATACGCATACGCATATGTACGTAAACCCATAACTAACGTACGTCGAGCATGTGAAATCCTGAAATTAACGCACTCCGCAACGCAAGATGAGTAAATTATGACGTCATCCGTTAACGTTAAGGTTAACGTCGTGCGTCGAAAACTACATAGTTACGCTATAAATACGTATTTGTAGTTTTACATAAAACGTTTTGAACACCAAACTGTTACGTTAATATAACGTTATTATAACGTAAAATTATTAGCTAGGATTATATCTGCTGTTGCGTTTGTCTCATTAAAATAAAACAAATGGGAGGCGACCTAATAAAGTGTGTCAGAGGACGAGAAACGTGCTTTTCCACCATCCCAATCAAAAATACTTTTGTTCATGACTGGTAGAGGCGCTCAGCAGGCTCTTGGCCTAGAAACAACATTAAGTGGTTATCTTGTCCTAAAAAACCATACGAAATGGATTACAATTTATCGACAAGGATCATCCCGGAACTGAGGTTAAGTAACGACTGTGAGGCGTGGATGTAGGTGAGACTAATAATAGCGTCTGTGGTAGCACCATACCTCCTTGGCCGCGTGCCTAATCAACGATCATCGGATTAAAATGCTGATATTATAATCTGAAGACCACACCATGCCAATTCACCCGCCGATATAGGATGTCTAGTATGTTAAGTCTATAAATGAATATGTTTTATTTCTTCGACACTGCACTATAATGGTTTTTCATACTTTCATATCACTTTCATTTAATTTTATTTATTTTGTCTTCAGAAACAATGAAAACATTCAAAGACACGAGAAAATACATACAAATAGATAGAAACTTAAACAACCGTTAACAACATGACGGGATAAACAAAAAACGAAACAAATCATTGTCGAGTGGTTGTCCAAGGATGAAATCAAAAGATTGAACTTAAAATATACGTATAATATAGTATAATTAAAATGTCAGAAATTATGTACAATGAAAGATTTTAAAACAGTAAAATTAAGGACAAATCTTTTAAAAGAAAATGCCTTAAATTTAAAAACAGTGACCATAAACAAACTTAAAACTTTTAAAAAATTATTAAAATGTAAAACTAATTCGTTACAAATATCAAAATGTAGGCCTAATAAATTCCATTGTCTCCATGGGAAAATTGACGAAAACGGAAAATTTGAAGCAGTTTGTACGGGAATAAAAATGAGTAAATTTTAAATTGTCAATATGCCGAAGGTACACTTTATTTTTTATAAGAACCAGTGAAGTTTTGCCCATGTCTCAGTTTTCTACTTTGATTTGAGGCTCAAAATGTTTCCGGTCCATCTCATTCCATTGAGTAAAATATAAAATGAGAATCAACCATGCAAAGTAGATAGGAAGTTAAACAATGTTTTATTTAATAAATTATTCAATAAATTGTTTAGTAATTAAAATATTCTGAGGAGCGTGCCTGCACTGTAGTGTTAATACTTGAGTCAAACGTTTCAGGAAATCAAGTCTTATTCCGAAATGCAAAATGTGTCCAATGAGCGATAGTATAAATTAAGCTTAACTCGACCAGACAATAATAACGTAACAAGGTTGTTTTAACGTCAGGTGCCCGTTAATACCGCAAAGACAGACGATACGGTACTCATTGCCTTGAAGGCCACGACTAGATATGCCTAGCTTCCTTCAGCTGCTCTTAACTCTTCTGATACTTTTAATGGTTATTTTATGCACTTGATAATGTCAAGGAGGTATAATTTAGGATGCTGTTAAACATTTCTTGTGAATGTATTACTATATTATGCATCCCGGTACCGTAGTGTATATATGCCACTCTATTTCGAAAGTTTAGTTAGAACAGGGATACGGTCTTGCCAGCTATACTTAAGCGTGGCGGGACCGCCACGCTTGGGCGAAGAAACGAAATGACCGCCACGCTTAAATTAGAAAAAATAAGCAAAGATCGTACCACGCTTAAAATGTTTGCGCCACGCTAAAAATATGTACTAAGTATATTTTGTTCAAAGAGTTACAACAATAATTACGAAAGTGTCGAACTGCAATGTTGCCATGGGGAAAAGGACTAGTTCAATCACATATCATCATGAGGCATCGCCTTAACTTCAATGCAAGCTCAACTGCAGGATCTCTTTGTACGCCGCCTGTGCGTGCAAGTAGGTAGGCCTACCTGTGAACTCGGGAAGGTCCCTGGTCGGCTAGCAGTGGCGTATCTAGAAGTCTTGAAATGGTGGTGGGACCTTCCCCCGCTCCCTCTTCCCTTTGCATAAAAATACATTAATGATGAAATTCACCAAGGGTAGATGCTAGAATAACCCAGTCATAACAAACCGTCGTTAGCCCTCAGACACACAAGGCTACTCATTGCTTGATGAATGAGTTTCTGGGTGTATGTTTAGTTTCTAAACGTATAAAATGAGGCGGTGGTCTTAAAAGAGCCGTGGGAATGGACAAGAAACAGTTTCTTTTTTAAATTTGTCCTTCAGTTTCAGACAATCACTAAGTTTGCGCAAATACCAGAAGAGAAATGAGAATCATTTAAAATTAGGAGGTACAGTATATAGGCCTACGGATATCTGTGGTCAATCCTGCCATAGCAGGAACTCAAGTAAATTAATTATCAGTAACTTGTAGTGACTTAATTAATTACGACATTCATGTCACAATCAATACAATGCGACTAGCAAAAGTCGCATAAAACATCAACAAATGCAATGAATGGTACAAACAATTATGATATAATCCCTACAAATATTTCATAAAGAGTGATGTCGATGAAATACACATTTGATCAACTTCTAATAAAAGTCTGTTTAGAAATCCTCTAGTTTTTTACAAAGGCCTTTCTGTGAAATATTCTCTAATATTGACCAGTTGTGCCTTGTATACTCTATTATTATTCCTTGCAGTGGATATGAAATGTGTTTATGTGTCTCCTTAGTCTTAGATTTCTAATTGCCTCAAGTGGGATGAATGAAGAACCCAATATTGAAGCAAAGAATAAAACAAATATCCATTTTGTCATTCAAAATCGTTCTAGCCAAAATAAACCATTTACGAAAACAATGTATAATAGTGAGATCAATTTGGACATTTATTTACAATCTAACATGATAACATTTATGAATATAAAACATAAACCTAAACTACTCTAACTGTTGCAGCTCCATCAATTGTTTGAGGACTTTGGTCTGACTGGTTTCTCGAATCTCGCCAGCAAGAAACATTTCATCAACAACAGAGTACACTTTGTAGAAATTGAAGACCAAGTCTAACTCACAGACATTATGGAAATATTCATTCAGCACCTGTTGAAGTAAAACAAATAAGTGAACATCATATATTGTTACTAATCTATTTCTCTGTATATTTATATTTGTGTTAATGTGGAAATATTGATATTGAACTGAATAGTATAACATATGCACAAAAACCCCTATAAATGTGGCTGATAATGGCCAGTTGTTGGTTTGTAACTAAAGGTTTCTTAGTGGTCTCTTATGAGAGACAAAAGTTGCTAAGAAGCACCAATGTGCCATGGTGGGATCCAGGAGAATGATATTTAGGTGGGGAAGCTCATGAGCAAAAACCTCTCCTAGAGTTAAAGCATTCTATCATGTAAAGTGTGAATTCCATTTTGACGGTTTATCATTGGTGAGGGATCACTAAAAAGTGGTTTTGGCAAACCATTGAAACCACTATTGGTTATGGGCCTGGTTTACATTAAGAATGTCCATTGAATTGTAGTTTAGTGGTTAATGTGCTTGCTTTCCAATCTCACACTCTGCAAAACTGGATTTTTCTTCCTGACTGAAAAAAACTGGCAATGAGTCTTAGCTTACAGAGCACCTGTAAGTGGTAACTCACTGTTGTATAAAAATGAAATAATAAAAACAAATACGACAATCCTTACCTCAACAAAATTGTGTATAGCTTCTAAATAGGCTAAATTATTGTCACTAACATCTACACATATGCAGAAATATAAACCAGCATACCGGCGATATACGATCTTAAAATTCCTGAACTGTATAAAAGAATGAAAACATATTTTATTAATTCAACACTATATTTAATGAAAATGATCTATCCAATACTGCTTTATCAGTGTATTGTTTATGTAGTTGGTAGAAAATAACTTTAGTTTGGGCACTCTGCAACCCACTGTAACCTTAAAAATTAGCAAATTTGAGTTAAATTAATACATTTATTCAAATAAAACCCCGCTTTGAATAAACACCCCCACTAAATGACTGCAAAATCATTATCAACACATTCTATTAATGTTCTACTCCATTAGAATTACATTTTTCTAACCTGGTTGGGATCAAGTCTTTATTATCATGCAATAACACATTTTTTTTGTAGTTGTCACATTTACAGTGAAATTAAGGGCGTTTATTTTTTTATTTACAGTGAAATTAAGGGCGTTTATTTGAATATTTGGATGTTTATTTGTTTTTTAATTCAAATTTGAAGCCTGACTACCAACTTAGTTGGTATCAAATGTTTCCTGCTGGAGACTGGTATATGTATAATGCCTCCCTCGAATAAAAAACGCCCCTTCAAAACCCCTTCTCTACAATTTGAATAAATATGGTATATCAATTTTTCAAATAAAGTTATCACATTAATAATAACTTTTGTAAAGTGAATTATCCACTGCAAATTGCAATTTTCTGTGGCACTAATGACATTAGCATTTACAATTTTAAGATGAATTCAAAACACTATCTCGTACTTCAACAAAGTTTGTGTGTTTGGCATCCCTAACAGTGACCAGAGCATGGACTTCTTCTATCAGCTTCTGCTTTTCGTCGTCATCGAAAGCCATATACCATTTTGCTAATCTTGTTTTCCCAGCTCGATTTTGAATGAGAATAAACCGAATCTAAGACAAAAACACAAATTTACGCACATAATAAATGACCATGACCAACCTGAACCAAGCCAAGTGATAAGGCCACGTTTTTAAGTACTCAAGTATAGTAGGTTAGCAATTAATCCACATACACCACATCTCCATATTGGATTGTAATTATATTTTCATAATCTAGGCCTACAACCGCAGGGGTGCCGACAAGTTAAGCTACAACGTCCCTGACTTAGTCTAGCCTGACGTGTGGTGGACGTGGTGGGTACTAGGCCTAACACTATTCTGCAGCGCCAGTCACCAGTGGCCTAACTTTTAAAGTCTACTTCCTGTGGAATATCTTTCAAGCTATCGTAATTAAAATACACCACAAACACTAACTAAAATAGCAGAATACATCAAGAAAACAAAACGTAAAGAAAGCAAATACATTCATAAAAAATACCATTTTATTTTGTAGATGTAAGCAGCTCCCTGCTCCTCCCTAAACAGTACACCGTTATCGCTTCCGGTGTGGGTGTCATGAAATCGATCATCCCCAAAACAATCTATAGACACTCGAGAGCAAAATAGAATAACACTGAAATTGAAATAGAAAAGCATTCAGTTAGTATACATTTCAAATATAAAAACATTGAGTGATTAGTTTAATACGAAAATTCACATCTTTAAAAGCTGTAAATTTGGCACTAAATTACAATCACCCTAATGCTAAAATGGACACGGGCTACGGAAAGAAAAGTTTGTTGTGTAGTCTAGAGTTTTATTTACTCCACCACAGAAGGTCGAAGCATGGCGAAGTCAGGAACAGACAAACGAGTGAAGGAAATCAGAACGAGAGTGGAGCTCAAGGAGCACAGTATAATCAATGTATGTCCATGCCAGTAAGATGACGAAAACATTGATGTTTTTTTCTGTTTACCTGCTTTGAATATTCTGTGCATATGTTATATTCCTGAAGGCTGCCGCCTAATTTTCCTAGGCCTAGCAGCTGTGCACTCCTCTCAAACTTTGGTATCACTGTGGTGGTGCTGCTGCAGCAGGACCACGGTTTCCAGTCTTCTGTTGCTGTGGTTATTAAATGGTTATCGGCCTAATGATGCTCCTACCTGGTTGCCTTTTCTTAATTTTCTTATGTTCTCTGTCCCCTCAAAAATATAATACTTTACAGTGTAGTAAAAATATATGGTTTCAAACAAACCAATCACTGACAAATTTATTTTATTCACTAATACGGTCGGTACATCCGTTGGTTACAGACTGGATGAGAATGCCTTCCTTATTTATAAATCTATATTTTTAACTTAATTGATTCTTTGAGTCGTCTTGAAATATAAAAAAAAATACATTCAAAATGTGTAATTTTACAATGAGTTTTGTGATAACAACTCCCTAGTGAAACCCACCCTAGAAGATAAGCCACTCACAATTTAGATATAAGGCCCCATAAAAAAAATGATTAGTTTATCATCCCCGCGCGCATCTCTTTTGACGAAATCGCGATTTTTTTTTTTTTTTTTACTAGATTTTTTTCATTGAAAAAACGATCGTTTGTTCGGCAAAAACAAATTTTAAGGCTGGTGAATGATGATTTTCGATCTTTAGAGTAGTCGGCAAGTAACAATATCTATTTATAGGCGATCTTTTTCATACTGCGCATGTCCACAAAGAAAGAGAGATATGACGTTCATGACCAATCACACTGGCGAACAGCGATGGGACACTTCACACCCCCACCCCCAAAAAAAAAAAAAAACCTCCCTCCCTCATCAATTTTTTGGTTTT